ATGGATCGCTGGTCTATAGGGTCCCCTCCCATGATAGGACATAGATCGCTAGTCTATGGGGCCCCCTCCCAGGATCGGACATGGATCATTGATCAATCGGGCACCCTCCCAGGATCGGACATGGATTGCTGGTCTATGGGGCCCCTTCTCAGGATCGGAAATGGATCGCTGGTCTATGGGGCCCCCTCCCAAGATCGGACAAGGATCGGACATGGATCGCTGGTCTATGGGGGCCCCCTCCCAGGATCGGAAATGGATCGCTGGTCTAGGGGGCCCCCTCCCAGGATCGGACATGGATAGCTGGTCTATGGGGCCCCTTCTCAGGATTGGACGCGGATCGCTGCTGGTCTATGGGGCCCCCTCCCAGGATCAGACATGGATCACTGGCAGGGGCGGACTGACAACTCATGGGGCGCCCGGGCAATAGGAAATCATGGGGCCCGTGTCCTCACCCACACTCAAACCACACCCAAAAAAGCCTATGAAAGGTACCAGGGGCATCTCATGGGGCCCCCTACTGACCCCAGGCCCTTGTCAGTGCCCGAGTGGCTAAATGGTCGCTGGTCTATGGGGACCCCTCCCAGGATCAGACACGGATCGCTGGTCTATGGGGACATGTCGGGATCTGATGTGAAATCGCTCCTCTATGGGTCCCCAGGGATTCGGCAGTGAAAGGGGGTGTGTCGCTCAGATTGTCCAGCAGGTGGCAGACTATACACACTCTGCAGATACTGGACCCAGGAGCTGACACTCTACCCAGGGTAGCTAAACAGGACAGAAGAGGGAGGGGCAGTGACATGCCACCATTAACCCTTTCCCTGCTGGGGGCGGCACTGGGCGGAACAGGGGAGGTGTTGTCCTACTGTGGGCGTTGCCGGATAGGCTCTCCTAATGGTGGGATTCGGTGGCCGGACCCCTGAGGGTTGCAGCCCCTTGGGGATGGGGGGGATCCTGGTGTCCGGGGTGGTTCTGTTCACCTCGATCCGGAGCCGGAGGTTGTCAGACGCTCCCTGGCAGTGCCCGTCCAGGGGCGAAGTGGGCGGGGTGTGGGTGGGGCCTGGAGACCCGGCCGCGGATGGGGCGGTCAGGGAGCGTCTGACAATCCGAGAGAAGAAAACAAAAGGGAGAGAAGCCGGAGAATGGCGGCCCGCGGAGGGGGAGGGGGAGTCCTGCTGGTCTGCAGCCTGGCCGTCCTGTGCTGGGAGGGGAGCCGGGGGAGCGAGGCCGGGGGGGACCGGGACAAGGCCGAGGTATGTACACTCCCACCTCCGGGTGTGTCACCCCATTCTGTATCCCCCACACCTCAGGGTGTGCCACCCCATTCTATGTCCCCCCCACACCTCAGGGTGTCACCCCAGTCTATGACCCCCCTACCTCCGGGTGTGTCACCCCATTCTATGTCCCCCCCCCCCTTCCACCTCTGGGTGTGTCACCCCAATCTATGTCCCCTCCACCTCTGGGTGTGTCACCCCATTCTATGTCCCCCCCTCCACCTCTGGGTGTGTCACCCCATTCTATGTCCCCCCCCCACCTCTGGGTGTGTCACCCCATTCTATGTCCCCCCCCACACCTCTGGGTGTCACCCCATTCTATGTCCCCCCCACACCTCTGGGTGTGTCACCCTATTCTATGTCCCCCCCCACCTCTGGGTGTGTCACCCCATTCTATGTCCCCCCCCCCCACCTCTGGGTGTGTCACCCCATTCTATGTCCCCCCCCCCCCCACCTCTGGGTGTGTCACCCCATTCTATCTCACCTCTCCAGTCTCCTGCATGCTTGTCCCCCCCCCCCTTCACTTCATCACCCCTCTGTCATCTCTGTACCCCACTTCACCCTCCGCCCTTCTTCTGCTCCTCCATGGCGTTGTCACCTTCACCCCAGTATATCCATTCGCTCTTCTGTTGGATCGGACTACACAGCCACCTTCACTCCCCATCAATGAGTCTTGGCCACCCATCACCCTGTCGCTGGTTTTCCTTCCTTGGACCACTGGAGCCCGGGATCATCCCACAAGAGATGCAGTTTTGGAACCATTACAAGCTGGTCCTTGTCAAAGCTGCTCAAACCCTTACCAATTTTTCTGCTTTCAACTTCAGGGACAACATGTTCACCTCCTGCCTAATATATCCCACCCACTTTCAGATGCCATGGTAACAAGAGAATCATTGTTCTTCACTTTACCTGTCAGAGTTATGGCTGATCAGTGTGTACAGACCAGACCCTGAGATCCCACCTCTGTGACCCCCAACAAGAGAGGAAACCAGTCCTGACACCTGGTACCCCCAACAAGAGAGGAAACCAGTCCTGACACCAGGGACCCCCAACAAGAGAAGAAACCAGTCCTGACACCGGGGACCCCCCAGAGGAGAGGAAACCAGTCCTGACACTGGGAACCTCCTACAAGAGAAGAAACCAGTTCTAGCCTCGGAGACCCTCAACAAAAGAGGAAACCAGTCCTGACACTGGGGACCCCCCCCCAGAGGAGAGGAAACCAGTCCTGACACTGGGGACCCCCCAGAGGAGAGGAAACCAGTCCTGACACTGGGGACCCCCAGAGGAGAGGAAACCAGTCCTGACACTGGGGACCCCCAGAGGAGAGGAAACCAGTCCTGACACTGGGGACCCCCCCACAGGAGAGGAAACCAGTCCTGACACAGAGGACCCTCAACACAGAGAGGAAACCAGTCCTGACACCAATGACTCCCCAGTAAGGCACCAACACCCAGAGAACCTCCACAGTGATGTGTCTCTTGGGGTGACCGGTCCTGTGTAAGGAGTCCTACCTGCTTCCCAGCACAGCCTTGAGCTTCCCTACTGCCATGACAGAAATTCGTCAAAACTGGTCTGATCACTCTGATCCATCCACAGAAGGGTTAATATGTCCAAGTGCTGGTTTCTGTGTCCTTGACTGGTTAATAATTACTGATCAAACAACATCAGTATCGGTTGGGCGGGGGGGGGGGTCATCTTTGTCCTATAGAGTCATAGAGGTTACCCACCCCATTTATTGATTGTATAGATCGATATTTATGCCAAAAAATTTTTAATATCTGATCACTCCCTAACACTGTAGAAGCTCTGCTCCATCATCAACCACTCCTTCTGTATAATAATACTTCCTAAGGTTAGTTCTGAACTTCCCTCATGATAGTCTGAGGTCCTATTCCCATGTTCTTCATGTCAGTTGTCCCCACCCCCGGAACCCCCTGAACCTTCACTAGGGACCACTCTATATAATAATCTACATAGAGGAATCAGGACCTCATTGCTACTGCTAGTGACCCCTCTAGTGATGTAAAGATCTATATAGAGAAATCAGGACCTCCTTCCTCCTCCTGATGACCCCTCTAGTGATACAGAGATCTATATAGAGGAATCAGGACCTCCTTCCTCCTGATGGTGACCCCTCTAGTGATATAATGATCTATATAGAGGAATCAGGACCTCTTCCTCGTGCTGGTGATCCCTCTAGTGATACAGAGATCTATATGAGGAATCAGGACCTCCTTCCTCCTGGTGGAGATCCCTCTAGTGATACAAAGATCTATATGGAGGAATCAGGACCTCCTTCCTCCTGCTGGTGATCCCTCTAGTGATACAAAGATCTATATGGAGGAATCTGGACCTCCTTCCTCCTGCTGGTGATCCCTCTAGTGATATAAAGATCTATATGGAGGAATCAGGACCTCCTTCCTCCTGCTGGTGATCCCTCTAGTGATATAAAGATCTATATAAGGAATCGGGACCTCCTTCCTCCTGCTGGTGATCCCTCTAGTGATATAAAGATCTATATGGAGGAATCGGGACCTCCTTCCTCCTGTGGAGATCCCTCTAGTGATATAAAGATCTATATGGAGGAATCAGGACCTCCTTCCTCCTGCCTGGTGATCCCTCTAGTGATATAAAGATCTATATGGAGGAATCAGGACCTCCTTCCTCCTGCTGGAGATCCCTCTAGTGATATAAAGATCTATATAAAGGAATCAGGACCTCCTTCCTCCTGGTGGTGATCCCTCTAGTGATATAAAGATCTATATAGAGGAATCAGGACCTCCTTCCTCCTGGTGGTGATCCCTCTAGTGATATAAAGATCTATATGGAGGAATCAGGACCTCCTTCCTCCTGCTGGTGATCCCTCTAGTGATATAAAGATCTATATGGAGGAATCAGGACCTCCTTCCTCCTGGTGGTGATCCCTCTAGTGATATAAAGATCTATATGGAGGAATCAGGACCTCCTTCCTTGTGCTGGTGATCCCTCTAGTGATATAAAGATCTATATGGAGGAATCAGGACCTCCTTCCTCCTGTGTGGAGATCCCTCTAGTGATACAAAGATCTATATGGAGGAATCAGGACCTCCTTCCTCCTGGTGGAGATCCCTCTAGTGATATAAAGATCTATATAGAGGAATCAGGACCTCCTTCCTCCTGGTGGAGATCCCTCTAGTGATATAAAGATCTATATAGAGGAATCAGGACCTCCTTTCTCCTGGTGGAAATCCCTCTAGTGATATAAAGATCTTTATAGAGGAATCAGGACCTCCTTCCTCCTGCTGGTGATCCCTTTAGTGATATAAGGATCTATATATAGTAATCAGGACTTCCAGCTCGGTGCCCTAATATTGATGCACCCCATAATGCATGCCAATATTCACCTTGTGCATGCTACCTGCTGGTAGGTCTCCTTGGATCACTTTTCCCATCTCCCCACTTTTTGTTGTATTTTAGGAAATAAATACATCTGTAAATCAGAGAATTCAGACTGTAATTAGAATAATGACGATAAATTGAGACTGTCATCGGAGACTCCATAAGTCGTCTGTCTGTGATCTCCGCTGATTGGATGATGTTAGGTGGTTGGTTCCAGGCAAATGGTGCCCAAAGAACTTCCTAAATATAAATATGTAGCTGTAGGAATTTTGTTCCAGTCCATCATAATGTTGGTTTCTCTTGCAGTCCTGGCTCCGCCTCTATGGGTACCTCCCACAGACCAGCCGTCAGATGTCCACCTTGCGCTCCGCACAGATTCTTTCCTCCGCTATTTCTCAGATGCAGCAATTTTATGGGATTCCGGTCACAGGGGAACTAGACAAAGCCACCACAGAGTAAGAGCCACTTAGATTATCAGGGCTATTTGGGTGGGCTGGGGAAGGGGTCTCAGGCTCTTCTCACTATGCAGTGATCCTCCATCCAACTAACTGACTTTCTCAATGACAGGTGGATGCAGAGGCCACGCTGCGGTGTCCCGGATCAGTACGGTAGTAGAGCCAAATCGAACATGCGTCGGAAACGGTACGCTCACACAGGGCGCAAGTGGAGCCAACAGCATCTGACATACAGGTGAGTGTGTTCATCTTTGGTGTGCAGGGAGCCCATGTACTAGCAGGATCCTGCTGACATAAGTGATGACCTTCTGACATCTGGAGATATAAACTAATCTGCAGGGTAAAAACACTTCATTCCGAGTGGGGGGATCTGTTATGTGCCTGTAGCCCAACATCACCATTCAGTTTTTACTTTGCTTGGGATGTGTGTGTATAAGAGGTTCTATAGCTCCTCTGTAATAGGAACACCAAAGAGTAATTTTCATCATACCCTCTGGTGGATCATTACAGGGTAGAGAAGAAGGTCATTAGAAGAGAAGGGGAGGCCCTCCAGAAGATCATGGGAGTTCTTTATAGGATGAGGAGGGACCTCCCAAAGATCCTTCTAGGATGAGGGGAAATGCTGCCAGAGATCCATATATGATGAGGGGAGACCCTCCAGAAGATTATAACAGGATGAGGGGAGACACTGCAGATGATCATTATATGATGAGGAGAGATCCTTCGGGGGATCAATATAGGATGAGAAGGAGATGATCATTAAAGGATAGAGAGTGAACCTTTTTAGAAGGGCATCATCGGGTGAGGTGAGACCTTCCTTGGTATCATTATAGGATGAGGGGGGATGCTGCCGGAGATCCATATATGATGAGGGGAGACCCTCCAGGAGATTATAATAGGATGAGTGGAGACCCTATGGACGATCATTATATGATGAGGAGAGATCCTTCGGGGGATCAATATAGGATGAGGGGGGACCCTTCAGGAGATTGTCACAGGATGGGGAGATGATCAGGGTGATCATTAAAGGATAGAGAGTGACCCTTTTAGAAGGGCATCATCGGGTGAGGTGAGACCTTCCTTGGTATCATTATAGGATGAGTTGAGACCATTATGAAGGGGACACATCCATGAGATCAGTATAGGATAAGGAAGAGACTCTCTGGGAGATTGCCCCAATGATCTGCCCCTCGTCTTATGACAATCATTACAGGATGGAGTGGAAGACCCTTTTAGTTTCTCTTTATAGGATGAGGGGAGACTTTCCGAGGGATCATTATAGAATGAGGGGGAGACCCTCGGGCGGGATAATTAGAGGATGAGGCTGGACACTCCGAGGGATCATTATACGTTAAGGGGAGATCTTTGAAGAAAAGGGAAAAAAAAGATGAATTAGTACATGATGGGAGATATTCTGTAATGCTGACAGATGGGTCTATGAGAACCTGAGGATGGTCACTGCTCTCCTTCCTCTATGGAGGATGACATCACCACTCCATCCAATAATTGGGGAACTCTGACAATGCTGATCATGTTCACTTCTCTGACATTGGGTGAAACTAAATTTGAATCTTTTTCTTCCACATATCACAGAATATGCCATAGTCTCCATTCTCGCCACTATCACCATTCCCAACCCATCAGCACAGTTCAGCTTGGTGAATGCAGCATATGTACAGAACCACCCTCCTGGCCCATCTGCAACATTCCGGCCCTCCCTGTCCCCTGTGGACATTTGCCCTCCTCTCCCATCCCTTTCCTCTCATGTCCTCTCCAGTGTTCTCTCTCCAATCTCCTCCATGGTTGTCCTCCCTTTTCCAGGTAGTGATGTAGGTTAGAGATGAGCTCCTCCCAAAATGTATTAGTTTCTGATAATTTACCATAATTTCTCTTTCCACAGCATCCAAAATTACTCCGACAAGCTGGGTGTGTACAACTCTGTGGATGCCATACGGAAGGCCTTTGCTGTGTGGTCCAGTGCTACTTCCCTAACCTTCAAGGAAATTCCCTACGAGTCCCTGCGACAGCACCAGGCCACCGCCGACATTGTCATCCTTTTTGCCTCCAGCTTCCATGGTGACAGCTCCCCCTTTGACGGCCCTGGTGGCTTTCTAGCACATGCCTACTTTCCGGTCCAGGGATGGGTGGTGACGCCCATTTTGACTCTGAAGAACCGTGGACAGTGAACAATGCAGACATAATGGGTGAGGAAATCTTTTTTTTTTTTTCTTTCATTTATAGCTTGGCAACATGTACTGCGGTGCTGTGCAATAAATATAAAGGGGTGGCATGTACAGATTTCCAGTATAAAAGATGACAGGGAGAAGAGGTCCAGGCCTAGTCGGATCGCAACCTGACAGCACCCAACCCCAATGTCACAGTGGGTGCAGCTATTACAGAGGCGGCCGTTGGGTGTTGGGGGTGGGGCTGTCTCAGGGGCGGCCGTTGGGTGGGGCTGTCTCAGGGGCGGCCGTTGGGTGGGGCTGTCTCAGGGGCGGCCGTTGGGTGGGGCTGTCTCAGGGGCGGCCGTTGGGTGGGGCTGTGCTAGATGCAGTGGGTGGAGCTATGTCAGAAGCAGCAGTGGGTGGGCTTATTCTGGAAGCAATGGGTGGAGCTATGTCAGGCAAAATGGTTGGGGCTATCCTTGAGGCTGTGGATGGGGTTATTTCAGATGGAGCAGTGGGTGGGGCTGTCCCTAAATCTTGGAGTAGAGGGCCTGCTCTGACTGGCTGTCTGTCCATCAGCAGGATGTAGTATTTTGGATTCCCAACCCCCACCCCTGGTCTGTGTATTATAATAGCCAATGTCGTCCTTGGCAGGGAATCACCTTTTCCTGGTGGCTGTTCATGAGCTCGGACACTCGCTGGGCCTAGAGCACTCTAATAACCCCAGCGCCATCATGGCTCCCTTCTACCAGTGGATGGACACGGACAACTTCCAGCTGCCCGATGACGACAGACGAGGAATTCAGCAGCTCTATGGTAAGACCTGATTGGCTGAGTCTTCTGCCCTGCCTTCCCCTCCCCCATCCTCACAGAAATTTTAGAATTTTGTTTTATAGAAATTATCTTTTTTTCAGTAATACATAGCAACCCAGTGACCCCACCAATCGCCTACCAGCACCTGTTGTTATGGCACATCATGAGCCCAATAGAGTGATGAATTGTACCATGATGGTTCTGCTCACCTCTCCATGCTCCTCTCTCTGAATGAAAGTAACTGGACTTTTTCTTTTTTCCCAGGGAGTACGGACAATGAGGCCCCCAGCACACTGTCTCCTGTCCCCACCCCAAGGAACCCCGACCAAAGAACACCAAGACCGCCTCCAGGAGGCCGACCAGATAGGCCAGGAACCCCATCCCCCCCGGAGCGCTATGGGCCCGACATTTGCCAGGGCAACTTTGACGCGGTGACGGTCCTGCGCGGAGAGATGTTTGTGTTCAAGGTGAGCACTGATAATAGTTATGACCTCCTCCCCCGCCAACTGACAGATGAGTCCATCTCCCATAGCAACAGCATTCCAGCCATCGTCTTCCCTGAGGGTTGGACAGAAGAAGACGACTTCTGGTTGGTTGCTCTGGATGACAGATGGTTTTCTTCCCTCCAGTTGTCACTTGAGTGGTGTTGTGCCTCTGAGTCGCCGTTTGCGGCTCATCACATCTCGGTTTCCATCGGCAGGGCACCTGGTTCTGGAGGGTACGACATAACCGTGTCTTGGATAACTACCCCATGCCGATCGGACACTTCTGGAGGGGGCTGCCGGGTAACATCAGTGCTGTCTATGAGAGACACGATGGAAAATTTGTTTTCTTTAAAGGTGAGCAATGACGGCCCCGCCGTCCACCTGAAAACAAGACGCTGCTGACCTCTGACCCCTGACAGCTGCTAACCTCAGGACACTGCTGACCCCTTAAAGTGGTATTAAATACAGAAACAAAAAGGTAATATATTGCAGCTTACCGATCATTAGATGTGGTGGCTGCATTAGTTGTCTTTTTTTAGGCTTTCTTCTCTCTGTTTTCACCTGGTGATTTGGCCAGTAACACATCTCATGTATTAGAGTGTCTCCACTTTGGACGAAGGGGCACAACAGACAGTAGCATTGTCAGTCTGGGGACGGTTGGGGGGGGTGTTACTGTATTTAAAATTTCAAATAAGAATAACACTAACAAAATAAAGCCAAGTACCAGCTCACACTTTATAATCCGTTTCAATAAACATTAATTTTCCTTTTGTGATAAAGGTTTTACAGGAATAAAAGGTGACTATTTTCAGCCCCTCTGCCACTGTTAGTGCTCTCATTTGTGTAACTGATACATTCTGCTGGAGAGCTTGTGCTTTTGAAAAACAAACTTGCTGGCCAGATCACCAGATAAAAACAGAAGCCTAAAAAAGAAAAATTAATGCAACAATCACATATAAGAATTAGTAAGATGAAATATAATAAATGTTTGCTTTTGGGTTTAATACAGCTGTAATGCTTCTGACCTCTGACCCAAGGACTCTGATAGTGCCCACCTCCAGTCCCAGAATGCTGCTAACTTCAGGACCCTGCTGAACCCAGGATACTGCTGACCTCGGGACACTACTAACCTCTGACCTGTGACTCAGAATGCTGCTGACCTCCGAATGCTTCTGACCCCTGCAGACTGCCTCTGATGTGGAGGTCCGGGAGGCTGCCAAATGTTTCTGTGACCCCCGACATGCCGATGACAGGTTTAGTGGGATGCTAGTGATTTACACAGTCCGTCCACAGTAAAGGCATCATATGGAAAAGTCTGTCACCAGATCTGCTTCATTTCTGCTGATTAATTCATACGGTTTTGTAACTTATCAAAGCCATAATCATTTACTTCCATCACTGGAACCTGACCTTTTTGTTCTTGTCGGATATGTCACCTTCACACAAGCAATCCATCTGTATGCAGATAAATGGGAGGGGGGCTCGCCCCATCCCACCACCTTCTGTACTGATATAAATGGATGGGGTTCTCACTCTCCTCCTTTTTTCTCCCTTTCTCCCCCCCCCTTCTCTCTCCTCCCCCCCTCTTCTCTCTCCTCCCCCCCTTCTCTCTCCTCCCCCCCCCTTTCTCCCCCCCTCTCTCCCCCACCCCCCCTCTCTCTCTCTCTCCCTCTCCCTCTTTCTCCCCCCCATCTCTCTCTCCCTCTTTCTCCCCCACCTCTCTCTCCTCCCCCCCCATTCCCCCCGCTCTCTCTCTATCCCCCCTCTCTCCCCCCACCCCCCCCTCTCTCTCCCCCTCCCTTTCTCCCCCCCCTCTCTCCCCCTCCCTCCCTCCCTTTCTCTCTCTCCCTCCCTTTCTCTCTCTCTCCCCCGCCCCTTTCTCTCTCTCTCCCCCGACCCTTTCCCCCCCCTCTCTCTCTCCCTCTTTCTCTCTCCCCCCTCTCTCTCTCTCCTCCCCCCCCTTTCTCGCTCTCTCCTCCCCTCTTTGACACTTGCCATTTGGTTGATTTGTATAATTATTGATTTTCAGGTGACAAATATTGGTTATTCCGGGAGGCCCATCTTGAGAGCGGATACCCCCAGCCTCTAACCAGCTTCGGGTATGGGATTCCCTATGACCGGATTGATACAGCGATTTGGTGGGAACCAACCGGACACACTTACTTCTTTCGCGGCGACAGGTAAGAGTCTGGTTATGTGACTAAGCGCCCGCTATGACAGGACTGTTCACACAGTACATGCAGGACACCAGAATGCAGATAATATCTGGATATGATGTGGTGTTAGGCCATTATTGGGCACACATTGTTACAGCAGCTGGCTGACACGCGGCCTTGTTGGGGCTCGCAGGAACTGTGTTGACTCTCAGAATCTCAGGGTTGTGGATGAGTGCTTCTGGGGAAATCAGCTGTGTGACGGACGCAGGCAGATACAGCGGGATGTTTAGATAAATAAGTCTAAAAACAGGAAAAGTTTAAGAATAGTGGAGGCCGAGTAGAGGACAGGAAGGTCTCCCCTCCCCCACCAATTATTCCTGGGTCACAAACCGACAGGAAATTGTATGGAATCATATAGAGTGATATATTCCTGACTGCCGTCACTCCCCCATTTACTATTAACTGTGTATCGCCAACGCATTCTGCAGCAATGTGCAAAGACCGCTCATATGACTTGACTGTGTGGGAGGAAACAGTTCTGGTGGGAAGTGAATAGAGGACCCTAGTGCTGCAAGGCTACAGTTCTAACCACTTTGCCAACATGCTGCCCTGCACTCTCCTTTCTGCTCCCCATTCAACAGTTCCTGTGCTAGCTCCATCCTCCTCTGGTCCCTATGACAGCTCCACCCCCCAGTCCCTGCTTCTGCCCCTTTCTGGTCCCTGCTCCCCCTCTTTTCCCTCTCTGGTCCCTGCATGCTCCCCTCTCCTCTTGTCTGTGCTTGCTGTCTTCCTCATCTCCGATCCCTGCTTGCCTCCCCCCCCCTTCTCCAGTCCCTTCTTGCCCTCCCGCTCATCTCTGGTCCCTTCTTGCTCCCCCTCCCGTCCCACTCTGGTTCCTGCTTGCTCCCTCCCTATGGTCCCTGCTGTACTCCCCCCCCCCCCCCCCCCCCCCCCCCCCCACCTCACCCTTTGGTCCCTGTTGTGCTTTGTCCAGCTCTCTCTAATCCTGCATACTCTCTGTCCAGCTACTGGCGCTTCAATGAGGACAGCCGCTCGGTTGATCCAGGTTACCCCAAATCCATTAAAGTTTGGGGCCGGTATCCCAGACACTCCGAAAGGCGCCTTCCTGAGCTCCGATACATGTGAGTATAGACTGGGCCCCTCCATTAGAGCTTTATGTATGGTGTCTGCTGGGGGGGCACTCTGCAATGAGACTTTACAATGCAATTATTTTACAAATACCAAGTTCCCAGAGTTTTGGGGGTAAAGGGGGAGGGGAATTATAGAAGAGGCTAGAACGAGGGAGAATGTAAAGAGGGTGTAGACTGGGGCAAGCACAATGAAAGGCAGAAGAGAGTGGAGAGAGAGAGGTGGTAGAACATTGGAAGGTATGGAGGGGGCACAGGGTGCCATTGGGTATGGAGGGATCACAGAGTGCGGTTGGATATGGAGGGGGCACAGGGTGCCATTGGGTATGGAGGGATCACAGAGTGCGGTTGGGTATGGAGGGGGCACAGGGTGCCATTGGGTATGGAGGGATCACAGAGTGAGGTTGGGTATGGAGGGAGCGCAAAACAAGTGTGGGTGGAGGAGGAAGTGAGGAAAGCATGGAGGTTGGGGATGACTCTGCTCTCACAGACAGTAGCATTACCCTTCTCCTCTGCAGAGTCCACCATTAATGATTAATTCTCCTTTCTATTAATGGCGGAGTCGGCTTGATCATCTCTATCATTGTCTGGAGGGCCCTTGAGGGAGGACATTGAAGAGGGGAAGGAAAGGAGGACAGTGAAAGGAGTGATGAGAGGACATTGGGGGGGGAATGGAGCATAAGGGGGTGATCAGATAGAACAGTGAAGGGGTGAGATAGAAGGGCAGAGTCTCTCCAGCAGTGGTTGAGGTCTTCCCAATGCCTCGTGCAGCTCTCCAGAGTTAAAGAAGGTCTCTGCCTCCAGTGTAATGAAGCAGAATACGGTGAAGCTGAGCGGTGACGACTGATTGGATAACAAACTGTTTCTCTGTTTCAGCTTACACCTACTTCTATAAAGGAGCCAAATACTGGAAGTTTGACAATCAGCGTCTGAAGACCGAGCCGGGGTACCCCAAGTCTATCCTGCGAGACTTCATGGGGTGTCAGGAGGAAGTGCACAAGGACCCGGAGACTGCCCCTCAGTGGCCTGACCTGGACCGAACTCCATTTAACCCAGATGGTGAACCTGATGAGGTTGATGATGGCGGGGAGCCCGGGGGCGGGGAG